GACTTGGGGTGGGCGGAGGGAGTAGGGGTGCAGACGGGGAGCTGGGAGGTAAGCAGGGGAGGGGGAGGAGAGTAGACTGGGGAGGCAGGTGTGCAGCCCCCCAACACCGCCGCCTTTCTTCCAAGCACAGGACGAGGGGATCCTGCCCTCGGGCAGACGGGGCGCGGCGAGAGGTAAGGGGGCCAGGGTGGGACAGCGGGAGGGGAGTGAGCGGAGGGCCCCTCCGGGTGGCTTCAGGCCTCGCGTCCCCCCCGCCTTAGACTCGCTGAGATAGAGTCCCCCCCCCCCTTACTCTCTTACTCATCAGCATTTACTTAGCACTTAGTTTCCCTGCTGTTGGACCCTTGAACCTAGTAAGAGCATTCAGCCCCCTGCAGATGTCCGAAGTGAAATCTCACCCTCAGGAATGGACATACTCACCTTAGTTAGCATGTATGAGCATCTGCTGCATGCTGGCCCTGTTCTAAGTGCTTTACCTGCAGGACACCCCATGGCATGGTCAGATAGTCTCACTTCTCAGATGGGGAAACTAAGACCCGAAGAGGGATGGGATCCTGCCTAAAGTCACACAGCTAAAAGTGGCGGGGACAGGACCTGACATGAGGTTTCTTCGGTGGCTCTGCGGTGCTGACTCCTCCCAGCTCCCCTCTTAGCCTGGCTTCCCCTCTGCCTGCAGGTCCTGCCAGATAAGCTCTAGGGGCTGGGGCCACCCTCCCTGCCATGTGGAGACCCACCCCCAACTGGGGCCACCTCTTTATCCTCACTTCAGGGCACCTGAGCCCCCTCAGCAGGAGCCGGAGAGGGCACTCTGAGCTCCAATGGCCACAACAGCTCTGGTCCCCATGTGAGGCCACCTTTGGGTACACCCTGGTGTGTGTGAGGGGTGGTTGAGCTGCCCAGAGCCCCTGCTGGGGCTGGGGGTGAAGAGGAGTCATCACTCCCCCCACTGAGGCTCCTCCAAAAGTCTTCTTAAATAAATGAGCTATTTCGGTGCTCTGATTGTGAAGGTGAGTTTGAGGCTAGAGTGGCCTGGGGTTTGGGGAAGGAGTGAGGCATCCTAATGACTTGTTGGGATTAGAATTGCCACTTCCCAGTTTCCAACTCTCTCTCCAGGATCTACATTGTTTGGTTCTTTTTTTAAATCCGAACCCAGGGCCTTGGTGTTATCAGCACCGCACTCTCCCGAGTGAGCCACGGGCCAGCCCTACATTGTTTGGTTCTAAACTCCTTGGATGAAGTGATTCAAAGCACCAGTTTCTGTGGAGGGTGGGAGTCTTCCACCCGCCATCCCTGTCTCTGTGGGGCTCCCTCCCCAGGCATTCGCCCCAGGACACACAGAGATGGTGGAGCGGCTGCAGAGGAAGGGTTCTTTATTGTGGGAGGTGGATAGAACTGGAAGAAGGTCAGCAGCCCAGCAGGGCACCGCCCTGGCCAGCTGGAGGTCAGGGCTGGGCTAGGCACCCTTCGCCCCATCTCTCATCTCCCTCGATGCATCCCTGGGGAGCCACCATCACTCAGCAGATTCCGCATCAAACCTGAGGTCCTGAAGAACTTCACTGATCGCTTCCATGGTTTTAATTACCCTACAAGAGCGGATGGGAACTATAAATAAAACCCAGATGGGGTGAATTAGCTGCCACTGCACAGCTCTGAGGGGGCTGTGGCGAGCCCCGGGGCCCTCCTGCCACCGCCAATCCTCCAGGCAGCACTAGCAGCAGGCAGGACCATTTGGGTGCCTGGGGGGATGGGTGGCCCTGTAGGTCACAGTGAGCTGAGAGAAAAGGACATCTTGCAGGGGGTGGTGTGTGTGTCACATGCCATCAGGTTATGAAGTATGACGGTGGCAAGTGTGTGTGCTTGGAGGTTGAGGACAGGAAAGCATAGACGGTGGGGCGTAGGCAACCACGTCTGTGTGCCACTTACAGCCATGTGTGCAAGATTAGCGTGTGTCCAGGTGCACAGCTGTGTCCAGGCAACGCACAGCGATTTTCTCACATGAAATTGCAGGCCTTGGGGAATGAGTACACCTAGGGGCCAGCAGGTGAGGACACTAGTGTGCACCACACCTTAAGGATTGCGCTGAGGACCAGAGGGTGGGCTCAGCTGCCTGGGACTGACAGTGGCAGCCCTGGGACACAGCAGGCTGGGGCGAGTGCCTGAAGGTGCACGTGCAAATCCAGCACGGCCAGCCCACCGGCAGCAGCGCTCACTTCATCTTCAGCTGGTCCATCTGTGCAGTGTCCTCCTGCTCCATCAGTTCTGGAGCCCCCATCAGCTGCAGCAGGGCCACCTGTGGGAGAATGGGCAGCGGGGAGGGCGTCACGAGGAGCGTAAGCCACCACCCCGCCCTCCCACACTGTTCTGAGACACCGCGTGGGGCGGTGCTTTGCGCGGGAGGGGCCTGGGGCTCAGTTTCGTGTGTATCCTGAAGGGGGTATCTCGTGGGCGGGCTAGTCTATACCCAGAGCCACGTGGGAGTGGCCTGGGAACAGCAATAAAGTCGCAGTCGGGGATTTGCGGCAGGGGTGAACTGGGGAGGCCTCAGTCTCAGGGGCGGGGAAGGGCATCAAAATCCCAAGGTGGGAATTCAGGAGGGGGCTGTAGTCGCTTGGGAGAGGGCGTGGCCTGGGAACAGGGCCGGTCGCGTGGAGGGCGTGGCTTCATGTGGACGTGCCCCTTCCAGGCCAGAATTGGCTGCAGGAGCGGAGTGGGCCGGTCCTTGTAACTCTGGAAAAGCAGGTCAAAAAGCTCGATTGATCCAGGGATACCCCGGAGAGGGTCTGGCCTGGGACCCCTTCCTATCTGCAGGGACCTGAGACACTGAGAACAGTCAAGAGTGGGGGGCGCTGCGGGGGCAGGGCCTGGGCTGTGGGCGTGTTTTAGGATTAAGAACTAAAAGTCTGGAATAAGATTGGTAGTGGACAGGAGGGGGCAAGACCGAGAATCCTCAAATGAAGCCTTAGTCCGGGGTGAAGGTGGGGCAGGAAGAGGTGGGGTCCGAGGCGGGGTCCTGGGCCCCTCCCCACGGGGCGCGCAGAGGGCGCGGCAAGACGCGTTCTGAGAGATAAGGCTCGGGCGGGGCCGAGCCTCACCGTGGCCAGGCGCGTCTGCTCCAACTCCTGCAGGTTGCGCACGTGGCTGGCGAGCAGCGGCTGCGCGCGAGGTCCAGCCAGCTCCGCTTCCACCGCTAGCACCTCCCGCGAGGCGGCGGCGAAGACCTGGGTCACCTCGTGCACTGTGTTCCGGTAGCGCGGGAAGTCGTGGTTCGGACGGCTGCACAGGTACTGGAGGTGGCCTCTGTAGCGGATGAGAGTCCTGAGGCCGCACCTGGGCTCTACGGCCCTGTACCCGCACCAACCACCTGAAAGCCCCCAGGTGATGTCCCCCAGTAGAGTAGAAGGCTGGCACTGAGGACGCTTCCCGACTTCCGCAGGGGAACCCGGGACAGGTCCACCTCTGCGCTCGGAGAGGGAGAGACGCCACAGCAAGTGGGCCGTAGGGCGTGGGGACTCGCTCTGGGTCGTTGCAAGTGAAAGCGAGGTTCGGGTACCCTCGTAACCCCCACCCCACCCGCGCCCCCGCACTCACTCCTCCAGCCGGCGGAAGGCCCGCGCGCGCTCAGCCTGCAGCTGGTGGATGCGCTGTACCAGCGTCCCAAGCGGGGCATCTTTCTGCGGGACGGGGGCACGGCTGGGACATGAAGCCGACGCCCCGGGCCTGCGCCGCCCGCCCCCCGCCTGGGCCCGTGCTCACCCAGGGCCACGCCGGCTCCTCGCTCTCCGGGGCTCCGACCGCCTCCGCGGCGCCAGGCACCGCGGAGATGGCCGACTCTGCCGCGGCCTCGGTGGTGATCATGACTGCGCAGCCCGAGCCACGCTCCGGAGCGGGCCGCTCCGCTGCGCCCGGCGCCCCCTGCAGGCCTGGAGGCCTAGGGGGCCCCAATTTTCGGCCGGCTGGCCCGGGGACCCGAGAGAGGAAGGCAGATCCGGGGGCCGGCTGCCCAAGCCCGACGCCCTCCGCCCATTCTCCTTGTTCCTGTCCAGCGCCCACCTTCTCCTGTTGTCTGTCCCTGAATACATGGCTGAGAATACAGCAAAGCTGTTAGCTCTTGGTGTGTTCCTATACACGTTATCAACACCGACTTAATTTCATCCCCGCCACATCCTGTCCCCTCAAATCAAGGGCTGACACCTAGAAGAGCAAGAGGTTGGTGGTGACCTGGCCTAAGGAAGAGGGCCAGTTGTAAGGGATGAAGAATGGACTAGTTGAGGTGTGGGGTTATGGGGTGATTGAGACTCCAGCCTTTTAGGAAGAAGCCTAGCCCCTTCCAGAAGCGCAAGGGACTAGGCTGCACTCAGCCTTCGTTAGCCTGTCTGGGTTATTTACTTCAAGACTCAATCAAAACTAAACAAAGTGGGTGCTGTCCACCCCAACACAAAGAGCATAGCTTTGGTTGGGCCTGTCTGGGGCACTGCAACCCATTGACTCCAGCAGCATTATTACAAGTTGTAAAGACACCAAGGCCTGCTCCTCTGAGATTGAGGTCATTGGTTTCAGGTGCTCCTGATGTTCGATCAAAATTAAGAACAGCTGTTTTATACCAGATGGGGTGTGCCTAACTTTCTACTCATCCACGCACACCTGGACACCTCTAGGCCCAGGCTTGAGGAACACCTCAACGTGCCTGACTAGGTCCCAGGCAGGTTACACAGCTGATCTTCAGTCCTACCAAGCCCAGGACTAGGGTCTTTATTCCAATTTTACAGATGACAAAATCCAGGTCTAGGGTATTCACTAAAAGAACTGGGACTGAAACTGGCTCTTGCTTTGGTTGTGGCATACCCTCTCAGATGTGTAGGGCAGGGACCAATGCCTGTTTTGCTGAATCCAGGACAGAGGACCCCCAAGGGTGACAGAGAATGAAGTGCTGACTAGAGTCCTTAAGAGAGATGCCCACTCTTCAGCCACCTCCCTGGACAGACCAGCCTTGTGGACACAAGTTACTGCTCCAGTCAACGAAAGGGAAACTTTATTGAGGACTCAGGGCCACGGTGCTTGGGCAAGAGGCTGCCCTGTGGGGAAGGAGGAACATGGAGGGGCCTTATTTGACCTTCTTCTTGGGGCGCAGGTTGTTGGTGTGGCCGCACTTCTTCTTGCGACAGTTGACAGCACGGGGATGCAAGCGGGCATAACACCTGCACAGGGACAGAAGGTGCTGGTAGGGCATGCCCTGGCCGCTGGCATGGGCCACACCATCCCGTGCCATCCCCAAGCATCTGAGCATACATACTTGCGGCAGATCATCTTGTCGCAGTTGTACTTCTGGGCCAGCTGGCGGAGGGAAGGCTCAATGATGCCGCCTCGCAGGCGAAGCACCAAGTGCAGGGTGGACTCTGCAGGAAACAGAGAGGGACAATGACTGAGCCCAACCCCAGCACGTCAGTCACAGGGCAGGGTAGGACTCTACAGTGCTTCTCAAGTCAGGATCCCAAGAGTATTCTATGTGTGGATAGACAACAGTGACCCAGTTGGACCTGCCCCACAGAACTTCCATCTCAGCATTTACCACAAGCCCTTGGGGAGTCTTGAGTTTAATATACACCAACTGTGGTGTCCATCTGGAGTTTCTAACAGGCAAGGCAACTTTTAAGTGGTACAGGGTAAGATATTTAAGTCTTGTTACTGCAATAAGTGACACTGATTTCCTTTATAGGAGAGAGAAAAGCTTTCATCACATTTTTAAATAAAACAAGTCATTAAAAAAAAGATCACTCCCACTTGGAAACACAGGTGTTAGTTGCCAAACGCCTCCCAGCAAGGAACAGTCTTAAAAAGCAGGACTCCCCATCCCATCTGAACTTCACCTGAGGACCTGTACACAACCATCAACCCCACCCCTGGTACCTTTCTGGATGTTGTAGTCTGAGAGAGTGCGGCCATCCTCCAGCTGTTTGCCCGCAAATATCAGACGCTGCTGGTCAGGTGGGATGCCTGGGGAGAGAGGGAAGCTCAGTTACTCAGGCTCCATCAAGCATGTCTCTGACAGCGCCTCCCAGCAGGGGTGCTCCAGTACTACCCTCAATCTCTCAGAAGGGAAATGAGGTACCAGCACCCACCCCCCACAAGATAGAAGTTCCCCTGGGCTGAGGGGATCCCAGTAGGTAGACAAAGCCGGCAAACTCAGCCCAACTCACCCTCCTTGTCTTGGATTTTGGCTTTGACATTCTCGATGGTGTCGCTAGGCTCGACCTCGAGGGTGATGGTCTTGCCTGTCAGGGTCTTCACAAAGATCTGCATCTCTGCGTCTGCTGGGGGTTGGGGGCAGAATGGAGTGGTGAGCGCTGCATGACTGTATGGTGCAAGCTCAGGTTCTTGCCAGGCCAAGGCCCTAACTGCTAAGCCCTATGCCTGGACTGATCCCAACCGCAGGCCTCCCTCAGTGCCCGTCCTCCTTTCACCCCTCCAAGCCTGGCCTTTCTGGATTATTTTCTCACACTCCCTGGTCTGTAGCCTACACGTGTCCTGTAACTCAGGACCACACTTTCCCCATACCATTCCTGGATTTGGTGACACATATGTGCTTCCCAAAAGCAAGGGCTATAGTTGTGCTCCTCAGGCTCAGCAGAGGAGGGACTCCGTCAGTGTTTGCTGATGGAATGACAAGCACCCTGGGGCACCATCTTGCCTAGCACATCTTCCCTGGGCATGGTCCCATCCTCCCCACCGCCTCGGCAAACTCCTGGGCTACTCTGCAGGCTGCCCTTGCTGCCAGCCTGGATAGGAATCCCATCTCAATAGCCATCCCCCGCCAACACACACGCACTTTTCTCTCAGAGCCCTTTCTTCTCTGACTCCAGGCTGGAACACCCAAAACTCATGGTTTCTTTTCCAGTTATGCCCAAACTCCCCAGATGCCACTCATCGCTTTTGCTCCAAGCCATAAACAGTCATGGCTGCCATTTAGTATCTGCCAACCACGTGCCAGGCGCTTGTTTACCCACGACACTTATAAGTCCACAAGACGGACGCTGCCGCCAGCCCCACCCTACAGACGCAGAAAAGGAGACAGGTGCAAAGACCCAGCTCAAAGAATTTAACTTTAAAGGGACGAACGCAGTGCCTAGGCCAGAGTTAACGCTATACGGTCACAACCCTGTCCCACCGACTCGGGTCAGCCGGGACGACCCGTCCCCACCCCAAGGACTCTGGGGTCGCCGCGGCCGGCATAACGGGCAGCCCATCGAGAGCCGCGCTCGCCCTCGGGGCCGTGGCAGAGACCCGAGCCTCGGCCTCGCGCG